TCCAAGGAGCACAGAATGTTTTTTTATCATCACTGTGGTCCTGTGTAGGGTAGGCTGAGACAATACTCTTCTACAAAGACCACCCAGGATCTTCAGGACTAACAGTCAATTAAGCTTTGCAAGCATGTTTAGCAACCACATCTGTTTCATTGTTTAAAATTAAATAATAATGGGGTATGAGGATCATTAGAACAACTGAATCAATACCTCCCTCCCTGGCCACAATTAAATGAAAACCACCTCTCTATCCCCATGGAGAGAAACTGGCACTCATATGAGAGAGAGAGAGAGAGAGAGAGAGAGAGAGAGAGAGAGAGAGAGACAGAGAGAGAGTCATTTAGATGGCAGCAGAGAAGGAATGGTTAAGCCTCCCTTGTTTTGCATTCCAGTAAAATGAAAAGGGTGACAGGCAATGTTCTCTCTAATTTTCCATCAGCACTGAGCTGAAACCCTGACACACACACACAAACACAATGTTCCAGCTGCGGCTGGAACCAAATGAGCGGCAACACTAATTTCAAGTGTGTGGCACCAATACAGTGCTGCACAGTCACACGGCTTAAAGGGAATGTTGATGACAGGTGATTTAATTTCATAAAACCCAGACATGGCTGCTAAATGGGCTAGATTGAATATGGATTGGATATTCTGAGCCACAAATTCTTGAGTTTCTGTTTCTCTTCGAATATCACAATCCATCTCACCCCAAACAGAAGCCAGTGGCAATTGAAATGGGCTGCACCTCATGAACAGGGTGGGATGAGCTGTAGGGTGGCTCAAACATTTATACTGATACTTAGGATGGACAGATTTTATACAGGCCAGTGTAGAGTAATTGACCATCTACTCTAAAATACAATAAAATATAAAGGTCCCAAGAAAATTTAGCTTTGATACTAGCATCATCTGCAGAAAATCAGTCATGCCCGTGAGCACCTGACTGGCCACTGTGTAAACAGAAGGCAGGACTGTCTTTAGCCTGACGGACTGTAGATCTAACAGTCTTGTAAAAATACTAGCTTGATTTGAACTTGAACTTACTCTCCATACAGAAAATAGGTTATTACAAACCAATGACAAACGTTATATATAGTCCTTTCCTGTATCAATAGTATGTTTGAACAGGTAGCACAATTTCAGATTAAGATGTTATGCTATCTGTCATCATGCCAGAACTGACCTATTGAGGCCCTAATAGGGTTCTCAAGGTAAGTAATATATTTAAAGAGTTCAACCCCCCAGTGAGTTTCCATGACCGACCAGAATTTGAACCCAGACCCCCTGCGTCCTAGTCAATCACTCTGTCCACCATTCCAGACTGAGTACCAATTCGACCAAAAACAACTCCAACGTTTGTATCAGCATAAAAGCAAGAGTGGTCTCCTTTTCACAGCAACTCCTCTTCTGCTTGTCTCCGGGGAAGCAGAAGTTTCAAGACAGAAAAGACCTCACCCAGAGCAGATATCTCTGGTCCCAAGGAATGAATAGCTTTCTCAGGAGGAGTTTATTTCCCACAGAGTGGGTCAGGTGGGAGACGAAATACATAGATCACTCCAGTTGTGATGCTAGAGAGCTCCTGGTGTGATTGATTCTGGTATCTGTTCCCACTATCTCAAGCACACACACCACTGACTTCGCATCCAGATCTGAAGCAGATCACCAGGCACTTTGGCAGGTATCATTGCCATAAGGACAAAGGTCCCCAGAAAATAAAAAGGAAACATATTTGGACCATTATGGACTGTTACATGAATGCCTGTCCCACTAATTCCGTTTGAACACAGAGAACTTTCCCCTGGCTGTGTTTCAGTAACTTATAACTGGGAAATCATCAGTGCAGTAGTCGTCAGCATCATTCTTAAACTCCCTGGGAATTTAGATTGTCACAGTTATTAGGATGTGACCTTTCCCTCAGATTTTTTTTTTGAAAAAGCTTTATTTTAAGACTAAGCCAGCATTAAATTTCTCCATTGGGAGTAGTTGTGCTTCCTTCACAGATAAGGAAAACAGCAGTGACAAAAAATCTGGAGAAAATACCATCTATTTCCACAGTAGTGAGGTCTTGACAAATGTCTAAAATCCCTAGGGATTAAGTGGAGAGTCATGTGTGTTAAATAAAGAAAACAGAATCGTAGCAAAGGTATTTCCCCAGCCCTCTTTTACTACACCAGATCTTAGGGAAGTAACAAGTAACATTAAAATTTGCTTTAATTTTTGTGTGGATTTTTTTTTTTTTGCTATTTAACTCAAGAGCTTCAAGACAGATGAATCAAGTTCTATTTCAGCACCACCTATTTCTAGCTAAAATCTTCCTGTCTTGCTATATAAATGGCATTAAATTTTGGATGCAAATTGCCTCAGATTAAGATATCAATAACTCTGCTCTTCATGCGAGTCAGGACCCTGGAAAATCAGGGTTATGGCAAAAGTAGAAAGCTCTGCCAAACAGTGGAGATTTTCTTTCTCTAAGGCTCACTGTCCTCCAAATGTAAGAGGATGACAAAACCAGAGATAGAAGGGGCATTGTTGACAAAACCAGGGACGTAGGGAGCCTTGTGGTGCAGTGGTTAGACTGCTATGCTGCAGCCAAAACTGTGCTCAGGACCTGGGGTTCAATCTTAGGTAGCCGGCTCAAGGTTGACTCAGCCTTCTATCCTTCCGAGGTTGGTAACCCAGATTGCAAGGGGGGAGGGGCAATGTGTAGCCTGCGTAATTAACTTGTAAACTGTCCAGAGAGTTCTTAAAGTGCTATGGGGCAGTATATAAGCAGCACACTTTTTTGTGAGAGAGCTCCCCTTTGTGTGTGGTGGGTATACATGAAGATAATTGGGCAGATCTTTAGTTGTGTTTATATTCCATTAAAAGCAATGGGATACTGTACTGCTCATTATGATGAAGGGCTTCAAACACTACAAATTAATTGGTATCATGCAGCTATCATTTTATCTTACCTAATGACTGACTTATTTATTTATTTATTTGATTTATATCCCGCCCATTTGGTATATTTATACTACTCTGAGCGGCTAACAACAACATATATACATTAATCCATAAACGTCAGCTATTTCTTACTATTGTGGTAAGAAAAAAGAAGAAGAGGGAAGAATCATAGAATGCTTACAAACAGAAAATGATATGTCTTGATGGCTTAGTTCCCAATGTCCTGATGCCTTCTACAAAGAGGCAGAACACAGGCTTTGCCTGAAAGTACCCTAAGCCGACTAATTTTAAAATATCACAAGTCTATCTTTCTTTGAAAAGGGGCTTATGTCTGGACTTCTATTTTTGCTGTAATAATAGAACTATGTGATGAGCTGAATGTTAATGAATTTATGCATGAAGTTTCCTAACCATAACTCTACAAGCAGATCATCCTCATAAGATTCCCAGCTGTTTTCTAAATAGTCTGACCTTAACCACAAGTAAAACAGGTAACCAGCCCTTTCAATCTTTTCATCCAAATTTCAAAGACACTATTACACATAAACTATACCCAGATGAAGATGACCCCAAATCATGACCTTTTCCAGATATGTTAGCAACGTTAAATGAGATGGGTTTCCAAGATGGACGCTGTGCTTTTCCAACCAGTTGGAAAGAGACATCGCTGTTTTGCTCCTTGGAAAACATTCAGTGGCGAACAGTTACAAGGATGAAGCATAATCAAACAAACATTCATTGTTTTGCATAGATGTGGTTGGGAGACAGAGTTATTCAAATGTATGATGAGTCTTTCTATGGTAGACAATACAGGATAAATAGCATTTTATTCATCACTGTTGCTTACTGGATCAAACTCACTGTGCTACAAAGTCCACATGCAAACTGAATAAATGTAAGCTGAATACATACTCTGGAGTAATCCAGAGCAAGTATAGCACCTGGCATCTCACTCATATGTTTGTCTCACTATACTTCAAGAAAATGTAATTTCTCTTTAAGTTGCACTCTTATGTGCATCTGGTAGTAAGCCCAGGGATACTTACTTCTTAGCAGGCAAAGATACTACTATGCTGTAAATGACGGGAAGGTGCTGCTGTTTTACTCTTTTGAGAAGACAGGAATAATCATTTAAAAGAAATCTATATAGACTAGGTCACAGATGTCAATTTGCAATTAATTTGAAGCTAATCTGTTTGCATTAAGTAAATAACAAGGCATTATCCACCTGAGATAACATAATCTGTCCAGAGCACAGAACCTGGGGCACCACATATATATATAGGTAGATAAAATTTGTCTCAAAGCACTGCCAGTGTATGTCTTTTATATCCTCTGCCATAACATCAAGTGTTTTGAAGTATGCAGAAGAAAAATACTGTAAATGCAAAATTAAAGGCTGCCCTAAAGGAAAGATCAATCAGTTAATCTTACTTAAAGCAGAGCTCCATATCAGCATCTATGTTTGAAAAATGATTCAGACACTGCTGTATCTGCATTTGTATTGTTGCAGCATTTACTTACGGGAGAGTGTAACCACTAAGAGTTTATTTATGGAAGGCAGGATTGAACTTTGCAGCATGTGAACCCATAGAGAATATGATAAAGACATTTGTGCCCCATTAATTTAGAGAATTGTGATTCCCACTCCCAACACACCTATAATAGAATTCCACCATCATAAAATCATCGGGATCAAACAGGTTCAGATAGCCCTTATCTGGGCCTCCCTTTCTTGACTTAGTTCTTATATAACTGTTCTTTATATATATATATATATAGATTCATTTGTTTTAGTTATAAATTAACTCTGAAACTGACTCTCCCACAGATTGAATACTATGCAGTCTTTTGTCAAAATCGCACGTAAAAAGACCAAAAAGACATTTGGGAGATCTCTCATTCCTAGAGTTGCCGTTTGCTGGAAGGCAACTTGAAGGTATATAACAATAACAAATATGAAACTTCCTAAAAAACAAACAGACACACTCCTAACTGATTATTGTGTGACATAATAAACTTTCTACTAACAATGTAACTCTGTAATTCTGCCTTACCTATTTATCACTCCATTTCTACAGTTCTGAGGAAATCTTGCATCTGATCAGTGGTCTGGTACAGTCAAACACACTATTCTCCTGTAGAATAGATCAGCAAGCTCTGATGGCTTTAGCCATCAGAACAAATTGTCATTATGAACTTACAGGGAAATAGCATGGTTTCTTCACAAGTAAGGTATTAAACTGGTTGAATAAGACACATCCAAAATGTTTGATTTGATGTGGGAACTACCATCTTGAATCTTCACCACCTTTCCTGCCAAATTTGGATGACCCCATGCTCATAATCACTCTGAACACAAGACAGTGCCTCCCAATAAGCTAGAGGTTTCCTGAGTACCCAGGGCACTCCCTCTGTATGCAGACATTTATAAGTTTATAAATACTTAGTGACCTCCAGGAGTTACAGAATGGCGAAACCTATTAACCCTCTGAACATTAAAGACGTCAGTTTAAAAAACAAAAAACAACCCAGAAAATTGAACAGGGACATAATTGGCCTCCCTGGTGTCCTAATAGTTTACAGAGTCTGGGAAATGAGAGAGCAAATGGGGACTTGTAGCTCAGGTGATCCCTACAGATCTACTGTGGGATATGTTTAAGGTTTAGAATACAGACCAGTGTTCAGAAGCATGTGCCGTTAACAAATTGCATCCTTTTAATCAGAGCCCACTTAAATGTTTTGTCTGTTTTTGTAATAGATTGGAACAGGGCGAGGGCATGTTTGGGTTTATGAAGTACAGAGCATAGCTTGGCAAAAAAAAGAGAGGGGGAGGAAAGGCTAAAACAATGCTGTGATGATGCCAGAGCTTTTATCAAAAAGTCACTGGCATAATAACTATGTCTTGGCATAAGTTGAGATATGCAGAAGACTTTTTGTCAATCACACAGCCTTCCTTCTCAATCCAATGTGGTTAAATCACAAAGTCAGTTAACTATAGTTTCTTGATTTGTCTGAGATGGTAAACGATGGTTATCCAGTTCAGAGCCATCATTTAAGGCACAGGAGCTTTTTGGCAAAATGGTGAACATGACAGAGATGCCTCCCCCCTCCATGAAGAGTGAAAACAGAAAAGGAGCATGGCTCCCCATTTCATGAGATGCCTCCCCCCTCCATGAAGAGTGAAAACAGAAAAGGAGCATGGCTCCCCATTTCATCTTAATCCCTGTCTCCTTGCTAAGTAATGATATTGTGCCCAGTAACAATGGATCATGGAGAAACTCATGTACTGTATGTGCTGGAGGAAAAGCAAAAGCTTTTCGAAGATTATTACTGTGACTGCTTTCATGACAAGTACTGAAAATTCAGACAACGCCAAAACTAGGAAAATTTCAAGAGCAGAATGATTTAGAAGAATCGTTCCAAGGCAAACATATTAACCTGTACCCTGAAACCACTACCACAGGGGATAAAATTCAACACCGTATAGTTAAAAATACATCCCCTCCCCAATGAATCCTTTGCCTAGCAGTCTTCAAGAAACACTTTCAGTTTCTGCTCCTTCCACACATTCCTTCCGAGAACTGGGCCTGCATCCCAGAAATTATATCTTGCCCTATCTCATTCTGATTTTTTCAAAAAAGAATGTATATAAAGCATCCTGAAAATAAAATGCCCCTTACGTTTCAGAGCAAAGACACTGCAAGTATGTCAAAACACACTGAGCAGAGAAAATGTCACAGCCTTGTGAGGTTCACTAAGTCATCCTATGCATTCTTCTGTATAGAGAAGAGCTTCATGTTTGGAAAACTGCCTTTAGAAAAAAAAATTCTAAAACAAAGATAAGGTACTTGGAACAGCTTTCTAAATTTTAACCTGAACTTTTGCCTACTTAGAACAAGCATATTGTCAATCAAAATGAATGGAAAGATGTGCACATGGACTTTCATAACCACAATACAGTATTACATCATATTATGGGTGCAACCACAAATCATACATGGATGGGGTCAGCTGTCTGATATGACTTCTGTGATACTCTGCTGCTTTAGAAAAAAGTGCCTTAATCAACAAAAGAGGCAGAAAAATTATCAAGAATAACATTTGCACAGAAGCTATTTCAAGAATTAATTTTTATGAATGGTAAAAATGAGAATAGTCAAAAATGAATATGACTGGATTCAAAGAGGAATTACTGATAGCTCAGCATAAAGTGAAATGCATAAAAGAGTTAGAGGAGGCAAATATAGATCATGATGAATTTGTGAGTATAACCTCTATATAGTTTATTTCCTTCAAACATCATACATTACTTTTCAGATATAAGCAGCCTCTCAGGTAACATACAGTAAAATAAAATATGAACTATAAAAGACTCCTGCCATGTGAAACATTAAATGGAGAGGCTAAAGAAATGAATATTTGGGAGAGGGAAAAACCTAGATGTATCATGAGGGCTACAAACTTATTAATGGCAGTACCATTTATGACATGAGTAATCAAATCCCCAACAAATCTCATTTTCTTTTGAATCAGGTGGAATAAACCGACGAGATGGCATGATACAAAAGAACAAGAGAAAACCATGGAGAACCAGCTCTTTGGTTCATTAAACTAAGCTTTGTACATAGTCAATAACAAGGGTTTGAATAATATCAATGAACCTGAGAGATCAAGGCTGAAGTCTCAACTTCAACTTGGTCACTGACATTGGTTCAATTACACTATCTCAGCCTGGCCTCCTTCACAGGATTGTTGTGAAGCCTGAAATAAGGATGGCAATGAAAAACACAAAGGGCAAGATAAGGGAAGGCTGCCAATCACAGAAATGCCTTACGTGCATTCAATGGAACTCAGCACCTATGGAGATTATGGAAAGCTCTGCATACAGTAAATTCTGGATGAGGTGGGGATGCAGCAGTGAGGTTTAAGGGCTCTCTCCTGGTCCCACCAGCCTTTGAGACCAATACCCTATTCAGGCGATTGTGCAATGGTTCCCAAACATTTTATCATCACACCCCATTTTTTTTTAGAAAACTCAATTCATTTCTCTTTCACCAAAACTCACCCTCTTTTAAGAAAAAAAACCCTCCAATCATATTATAATTACAGATATAGAATAAAAACAAAAACCTAAGAAAAATAATTTTAAAATAAAACTAAACACAGGTTTATTTCAGAAATTCAGAACTTTGGTAACAATATGTATCACAGAAATGTATCTGAGCTGGCAAAAATATTTCTTTCCTTCATGAAAATCTCACTGCCTTGCATCCCTCTTGCAGTTTCTTCATCCTCCCAGGGGACAATCCTCCCTTCTGGAATTAACAGCTTAATGGATGTCCCACCATCCAGAGATTCTCTTTCAGTGGTCATAGGTTAGATCATACCAAACAAAGAATCAAGAATTTAGTTCTCATCCTTAAAGTCAGAATACAGCTTCAGAAACACATCATAAACATTTTCCTTATCTTCATAAGCCATGCTAACCAATCATTTTGGAAATCACCAGAATGCTCCTGAGGATTTTTGCCCCCTGTTGAAGGGGTTGAAATCCACAAGCAGCACAATCCTAGGCATGTTTACTTAGGAATACGTCCTTCTGTGTTGATACAGCTTCCTCCAAGTAAGTGTGCAGAGGACTGCAGCCCCAGAAACAACTCATTGATAACCTATGTGAAGTCCACAACTCTCTGCAAGACTATGGTGGTATGTGCATTAATATTTAACAACTTAATCCTAAAAATATGGCCCCTAAAATCTCGGTGTAATGCTGACATAAAGACATGATTTGTGGCTTCTTGCTAATGAAGCATATAACTACTCCCCATTTAACATCTTTAAAAAAAAACTAAAGTGTCGTCTGATCTAGTCCTTACCTTAATCAAATAAAATATTCCTATTAAGACTAAAACCATCTGAATGACCATCTGAAAAAAGATCAGAAAAAGTTAGTTGCTAGAATGGTTATAGTAGCAAGGTTAATATTAGCAAAGAATTGGAAAAGCGACAAACACATTAATCTTGAAGATTACAGAAATGTGGAGCTTAGCCATTAATGATAAGTTAACATGTGCAATGAAATTAAGAAGAGGAATGGTAAAGTCTAATTATTTCAAAGACGTATGGAATTTATACTTGGAGTATGTCTTTACAAAGGGGAAAGGCCAGCAAAAGAATCAATGTATTTTGGAGTGATATGGGGTGAAAAGGGAGATAAACTGATATTACTGGTCACCTAGTCTCAAAGGTGAAGGTGGCATGGGTGGGGAAAGTCTAATGTGTATTGGGTGTAGCCACTATTGAATTTGTATTTTGTATTTTAGTTTTAATTTTGTAAAATTAAAAAGAAATAGAAGCGGCAAAAAAAGAAGAAGAAAGAAAAAGAAAAACAGAGAGACTAAAACATAAATTGCAACAGTCCACATTCAGAGATAGCTAATTTTGCCACAGTGCCATTAAATTCAATAGCCATTGCTATTCAATGCATTTCAGTGGGATTTATGTGAGTCTAACTCTCATTACAGAAGATCCTAAGAAAAGAAAAAGAAATAGAAAAGAAAATGAATGTTTAAAAATATGATGTTGATTTTTTCTCAAACTTAGGCGACTAATCAAAACACTTGCCCTTGGGCAATAAAACCTGTTATTCTGACCACCACTGTTTAAATGATCTCCAAAAGCCTGTAATTAACATTTTTCTTGTCATATCTTCCGATCTGCAGTAACAAATAACACAGCCCTATGATATTAAGATTTTAGCATCTTTTTCACAATTATGATGCAAATAAAATTCACAAAATGAATCCTAAGAAACTACAGGGCATGAAAATGTCCAGAAAGAAAACAAAATCCACCCCATTGCCAACTTGTTGAAAGGAGCCCTACATTTATTTAAGTTATATTCCCCAGATGTGTAGGTTTTATTTTTACTGGTGCCTTAACTGGGGATGGAAAGCACTACATTTTGAAGACAGAAAATCTAATCACAGGACTAGCATGTAACCTTATGACATTTGAATACAAAGAGTCACAGCTCACTGAGAAAACATATCTTTTAGATTTGAGCAACACCAAGTGTAGCTTCTATTAAAACCGTGACACATATCAACAGAGCTGAGAATTAATGTGAGATGGACCAATATTCTGAATCAC